TGGTGGTTGTTTACAGACCTTCTAGCTGGGCTGCTCCTTCCCTGTCATATAAGTTGTCCTTGCTCTTGCAGCCATTGAGCTCTGAGTTTTCCTCTTTTCCAACTTCAGGCCTGCAGGTTGGCCTTATCCCACTAGGCCTCCTCCCAACCTCCTGTCTTCAGCCTCACATCTTCCTCATTATCCTTCATCCGAACTCTCCTCACTGGACAGGCTCACTCATATTTAAGGGCTATTCTGACCCCTTGCCAAGTCTCCGGTTGGGGATTGGTCAGAGTCCCTTGAATATGCAGATCAGTCACTCCTTACATCTGCCCACTGCTTCTAGAACTTTCTCCAAAGTTCTAGGCAGGGGGAAGTCTCAGAGGGCTGAGTCTGCAGAGGCTTTCAGCTCCTTACCAAAATATGACCCCTCTGACTATAATACCTGGGCTGCTATTCAGCCCCTGTCTAACCATTGGAGTCAGAAGGCCCGTCTCGTAGGAGCTTACAATCTAAATAGGAAGGGGCAAGTGTGAGCGATGAGTTGACGGAGAAAGTAAAAGTTCTGTTTTTAGGTGGAGGTGGTATAGTTTTGCCTTTAGATCTACTTTAAATTATTAAGACAATGCTTTTTTTTTTTTTAACATTGACATGTCTCCCACTCTGCACCCTCGCAGTAAACTGAGATTCCTCTGATCCACAGACATTGCACCATTGCCAAGATATAGAAGGTGTGATCAGTAAGAGGAGACGTGGCAGAACAAAGGAGAAGAGGCAGGGGAGAGAGCTCACATAGGGTAGTATTGGTTTTCCCATGATCTCAGTGTGTGCGCTGCAAGTACTACACTGCAGGAGCCAGACATACAGGTCAAACTCGAAAAATTAGAATATCGTGCAAAAGTTTATTTATTTCAGTAATGCAACTTAAAAGGTGAAACTAATATATGAGATAGATTCATTACATGCAAAGCAAGATAGTTCAAGCCGTGATTTGTCATCATTGTGATGATTATGGCTTACAGCTCATGAAAACCCCAAATCCACAATCTTGGAAAATGAGAATATTACATGCAATCAATAAAACAAGGATTGTACATAGAACAATATCGGACCTCTGAAAAGTAGAAGCATGCATATGTACTCAGTACTTGGTTTGGGCCCCTTTTGCAGCAATTACTGCCTCAATGCGGCGTGGCATGGAAGCTATCAGCCTGTGGCACTGCTGAGGTGTTATGGAAGACCAGGATGCTTCAATAGCGGCCTTCAGCTCTTCTGCATTGTTCAGTCTCATGTCTCTCATCTTTCTCTTGGCAATGCCCCATAGATTCACTATGGGGTTCAGGTCAGGCGAGTTTGCTGGCCAATCAAGCACAGTAATCCCACGGTCATTGAACCAGGTTTTGGTGCTTTTGATAGTGTGGGTAGGTGCCAAGTCCTGCTGGAAAATTAAGTCAACATCCCCATAAAGCTCATCTGTGGAAGGAAGCATGAAGTGCTCCAAAATCTCCTGGTAGACGGCTGCGATGACCCTGGACTTAATGGAGCACAGTGGACCAACACCAGCAGATGACATGGCTCCCCAAATCAACACAGACTGTGGAAACTTCACACTGGACTTCAAGCATCTTGCAGTGTGTGCCTCTCTCCATTCTTCGTCCATACTCTGGGTCCATGGTTTCCAAATGAGATGCAAAAGTTGCTCTCATCAGAAAAGAGGACTTTGGACCACTGAGCAATAGACCAGGTCTGATTTTCTTTAGCCCAGGTAAGACGCTTCTGACGTTGTTTGTTGTTCAGGAGCGGCTTGACAAGATCTGTCTGTGTGTGGTGGCTCTTGATGCACTGACTCCAGCCTCAGTCCACTCCTTGTGAAAGTCCCCAACACTTTTGAATGGCCTTTTCCTGACAATCCTCTCCAGGCTGCGGTCATCCCTGCTGCTTGTGCACCTTTTTCTTCCACACTTTTCCCTTCCACATAACTTTCTATTAATGTGCTTTGATACAGCACTTTGGGAACATCCAACTTCTTTTGCAATTACCTTTTGAGGCTTTCCCTCCTTATGGAGGGTGTCAATGATGGTTTTCTGCACAACTGTCAGGTCAGCAGTCTTTCCCATGATTGTAATTCCTACTGAACCAGACTGAGAGACCATTTAAAGGCTCAGGAACCCTTTGCAGGTGTTATGGCTTAATTAGCTAATTAGAGTGGGACACTTTGAGCCGAGAATATTGCACCTTTCCACAATATTCTCATTTTCTGAGATTGTGGATTTGGGGTTTCATGAGCTGTAAAGCCATAATCATCACAATGATGACAAATCACGGCTTGAACTATCTTGCTTTGCATGTAATGAGTCTATCTCATATATTAGTTTCACCTTTTAAGTTGCATTACTGAAATAAATGAACTTTTGCACGATATTCTAATTTTTTGAGTTTCACCTGTAGACAGGGGAGGATAACATGTAACATGGTCCTCTGTTATGCTACCTTTTCTACTCCTAATGGCCACAGTTTGGCCCCCGTAAAGTCTGAAGGACAGTTTACTGGCCTTTTGTTTAGAAAGTTTGGAGACCCTTGTTCTAAATACAACATATCACAGGGCACCTGCATAGGTATGATGGGAGCCTTAGGCCGAATTCACACCCTGTGCCATGTGACACACTTTTCACTGCGTTTTTTGGAGCACAACAGCATAGGGCGGTCCATTGAAAAATGTGTCAAAGTAGCTCATGTACCTTTCTTTGGCACTAAGCCGAGCACATTTTGAGATCGACATTTTTTCACATTTGTTTAGCAGGTTTTGTTGCACAGTAAACACACAAAATGCACGTCTGCTGTCCACATTTGGGGTGCCATTAAGAATGAATGGCGTCGCAAGCACGATGTGCGTTTTGCAGCTTTTTTCACACCTTTCTGAAAATGAAACGCGTGTTTCTGTCCACATTTCCCAGAAGGCTTAGGTGTGGATGCAGCCTTAGACTCCGTTTCTAGGTGTAGTTTATTAGTGATGAGAGCCCATGTAATGTGGAATTACAGACAGTATATGCTTTTTTCAGAACACTATTAAGGTCTGATGGCATGGGGCGCTTTACTGTGGGCCCTGTGCAGATCCATGTTTTCCCGGCATGGAGATACACAGGTGTTGGGTGCATCCCCGTGCCAGCATCCCATTTATTTTGGGACATGCAGCTACATGGTAACAGCCAGGTTGATAAAGTCCGGATGTGACGAAACGCGTCCGGGGCACATGACGTAGTGACGCATTGACGTTGCCGAAAATGCCATGGTGGCCATTTTGGAGTCTGGAACACATGGTTGGTCATATCCCTGGGACTTTCAGTCTCTATCTGGCATCCCTCTAGAGCTTAAGGACCATCGTTTTGGATCCATCGTTGGGTATTATCGCTGTATATACAACCTATATGATCTGGAAGCTGTTTTTATCTATTTTAATGTTTTTTTTTCTTTGAGGTATATGAAGAGTGTTTGGGGATTCATCACCAATCATCTGGATCAGTGTGTATCTATTGATCAAGACTGAGGACTTTATGTGCATATCTTTTTCAAATTTTGGACTTTTTTTGGACTTTGGGTGTATTTATCTACGTCTGTTTGTATAATTTTCTTTTTATGTTGGTACTTCAGGGGAAGGATTGTAAAACGACTTGTTTTTTTTATTAAGGTGGGTGCGTGCTGTTCCATATTTATTCTACATGGTAACAGCCGCTGTGTCCTAATATGACATACAGGCGGGTGCTGGGACCCGTACCTGCGTTCATCCGCATGTCATATTAGGACACATCAGCTATGTCCGTGCAGCCTTGTTTCCCGATAGAAATGAATGGGACTCTGAGACAAAGTTGCAAATGCTAATCTCCTTATATCTTGTTTATTCTGACAGCACGGCCATATACTGTTTTGGCAGAATCCACAGGCAGCTTAATTCTTCAATAAGAAACAGATGTTGAATCCAAAATACAGTAGCTTTGCTTCAGACAGGTGCAATACAAAGGGATGTTTTTTTTTTTTTAAAGTGTAAGACGACATTGACCTTCCTAAGTCCTGTCTCTGTAGTGAAAACCTGAGACTAAATGAGGCGCATGAGAAAAACAAGGAGGGACCAGCTAGATCTAAACTAATTAGCACTAAACAGGAGGGGAGAATACAAAATGCCTCAGATAAACAGGTTGTAGCAGCAAAGCACTACCACAAGGTGTCAGTAGATCCCTGAGCATCCTCAATACAAAGAAATACAGCAGCTATTGTAGGATAGGTGGGACACAAGTAGAAATCAAACAATTTCCTGTGTGGTTGGTCCCAGTCCATGTGTACAGATTAGTGTGTTTTGAAAATGGAAAGTTATATGGCACCATTTGCACGTACACATGCGTGTTACACATGGGCACTCGGCTTCCAGTGCGGCCTAAGCAGCAGCATCTCCAGCTACATAGAGCAGGTTTGCTGGTCTCCTTCCACATCTGCAGCCATACAGAAAGAGTTCACCGGTCGGCCCTCTGCATCTCCAACCATACAGAACAGATATTCCGGTCTCCTTCTGCATCTGCAGCCATACAAAGCTTGTTTCACCGGTCTCCTTCTGCATTTGCAGCCATACAGAATGGATACTCCGGTCTCCTTCTGCATCTGCAGCCATACAGAGTGGATACTCCGGTCTCCTTCTGCATCTGCAGCCATACAAAGCTTGTTCACCGGTCGTCTTCTGCATTTGCAGCCATACAGAATGGATACTCCGGTCTCCTTCTGCATTTGCAGCCATACAGAGTGTTCTCTGGTCTCCTGCATCTTCAGCTATACAGAGCAGATACACCGGTCACCTGCTGCATCTGGAGCCATACAGAGCAGGTTCACTGGTCTCCCTCTGCATGCCCAGCCATACAGAGCTGATTTGCAGGTCTCCTTCTGCATCATCAGTCATATAGAGCTTGTTTGCCGGTCTCCTTCTGCATCATCAGCAATACAGAGCATGTTTGCCGGTCTCCTTCTGCATCTGGAGCCATACAAAGCAAGGTCACTGGTCTCCTTCTGCATCATCAGTCATACAGAGTGTGTTTGCCGGTCTCCTTCTGCATCATCAGCCATACAAAGCAGGTTCACTGGTCTCCTTCTGCATCATCAGTCACATAGAGCGTATTTTCAGGTCTACTTCTGCATCATCAGCCATACAAAGCAGATGCACTGGTCTCCTTCTGCATCATCAGTCACATAGAGCATGTTTGCAGGTCTCTTTCTGCATCTGGAGCCATACAAAGCAATTTCTCCTTCTCCTCATCTGTCATACAGAGCATCATCTGTCATACAGCAAGCATGTTTGCCAGTCTCCATGTTTCTGCATCATCATCAGTCATATACAAAGCAAAGTCATCACTGGTCTCCTTTCTGCATCATCTGTCATACAGAGCATGTTTGCTGGTCTCCTTCTGTATCATCAGTCATATACAGCGTGTTTGCCGATCTCCTTCTGCATCATCTGTCATACAGAGCGTGTTTGCCGGTCTCCTTCTGCATCATCTGTCATACAGAGCGTTTGACGGTCTCCTTCTGCATCATCTGCCATACAGAGCGTGTTTGCCGGTCTCCTTCTGTATCATCAGTCATACAGCGTGTTTGCCAGTGTGTTTGCCGATCTCCTTCTGCATCATCTGTCATACAGAGCGTGTTTGCCGGTCTCCTTCTGCATCATTTGTCATACAGAGCGTGTTTGCCGGTCTCCTTCTGCATCATCTGTCATACAGAGCGTGTTTGCCGGTCTCCTTCTGCATCATTTGTCATACAGAGCGTGTTTGCCGGTCTCCTTCTGCATCATCTGTCATACAGAGCGTGTTTTTGCCGGTCTCCTTCTGCATCATCTGTCATACAGAGCGTGTCATTTGCCGTCTCCTTCTGCATCATTTGTCATCTGCTCCTTCTGCATCTGCCATACAGAGCGTGTTTGCCGGTCTCCTGCATCATCTGTCATACAGAGCGTGTTTGCCGGTCTCCTGCATCATCTGTCATACAGAGCGTGTTTGCCGGTCTCCTTCTGCATCTCCAGCCATACAGAGCAGGTTTGCCAGAACTCAAGCCATCGATCCATGAGGGGCCCCTTTGCTGTCAGTATCCACAGTTGAAGCACAGGAAGTGAGACTGAGCCTGGCACCATTTGCCCTTTCAGTTCCTTAGACATTGCCGTACTCCTTTGGCATACCACTGAGCAGTGCCACATGCAGTCCCAGTTCAGGATTGTCCCTTTGACTCAGGTTTCACATTAACTTCTCCTTGAACTTGTTGCATGTTCTCTCATTACCGTTAGGCCTTTCTGCAAGTTATTCCCACCAAAGCTCTTCCTCAATCTCCCGCCCTCTTGAACTAGGAATATCCAGAAGCTACTTCGCCATTAGTGCACCACAGAAAGGGCCCCAACCTAGCAGCCCCAATAACTAGTTTTTGTTTTTCCTTTTTTTTGGAGACCATCCAATCCTGTCTCATGGTACTCACACATACACACACTTTGTCAATTTTTACTTTCCTGGAGTTGTGAAGTCCTGCAGGCAGACTTGGACCTTGCAAAGTCACTCCATAGCAGAGCCATAGAAAGCATACACACAGCCAACATATGAAACAGCACACAGTTAACACCCCATCACCCCAGATGTTAACCCCTTCCTGCTCAGTGCCATTAATACAGTGCCAGTACTTTTTATTAGCACCGATCACTGTATTGGTGTCACTGGGGATGAAAGTGACACCAAGTCAGTTTCCCCCCCAGTGTCAGAATGCCCGCCGCAGTCCTGCTATAAGTTGCTGATCGCTGCCATTACTATTAAAAAAAAAACAATTCCAGTATATATATACCGCCATTTGTAAATGCTATAAATTTCACGTAAACCAATCAATTTACATGTATTGGGATTTTTTTTTAGCAAAGACATGGAGCAGAATACATTTTGGCCTAAATTTATGACGAAATTAGATTTTTTTAATGGACATGTTTAATAGCAAAATGTCAAAAATATAGTTTTTTTTCTCAAAATAGTTTTTTTTTCGTTTATAGGGCAAAAAATTAAAAATGCAGAGGTGATCAAATACCACCAAAAGAAAGCTCTATTTGTGGGGAAATAAAGGACATGGGTGCAGCGTTGCATGACTGTGGAAATGTCAGTATGGCCTGGTCAGGAATGGGGGCCTATCCTCTGCAGGGCAAGTGGTTAAGGCAGGAAGTGTGTTACTATCTCCAGCTGAAAAATAAAGGGAAGAAAAACCTTAAAAAAGAAAAACTAATGCAACCACCACACCTAAGGATTGGTAAGCTGCAGTATATTTCATTCTGGTATTGGGTTTAGTTAGGCTATAAAATTGTCCTTTTATTCCGTACAGCAAAGTGCCATTGTCAGCTCTGTGCGCAACAAAATGACAGCTGGAATCTTACTGGTTATGGTCGGCAATACAGAAGCGTGTTTTTAGTCTCTTTCATGGGATGAAACAGATGTGTGTTTTTCTATAAATACCATCTGTTTATGGTGTGGCACGTCTATGCGAATTTCTGCATAATCAAAGTGAGATGGAATTTTACAGCATCGTGTCTCGGTGTCAGCCTCCGTCCCTGTCTGCTGCACACACGGGATACATAGACGGCTCTCTCCTCTGTAACACACAGACACACACGGGATACATAGACTGCTCTCTCCTCTGTAACACACAGACACACACGGGATACATAGACGGCTCTCTCCTCTGTAACACACAGGCACACACACGGGATACATAGACGGCTCTCTCCTCTGTAACACACAGACACACACGGGATACATAGACGGCTCTCTCCTCTGTAACACACAGACACAGAGTAACACACACACACGGGATACATAGACGGCTCTCTCCTTCGTAACACACAGACACACGGGATACATAGATGGCTCTCTCCTCTGTAACACACAGACACAGACACGGGATACATAGATGGCTCTCTCCTCTGTAACACACAGACACACACACGGGATACATAGATGGCTCTCTCCTCTGTAACACACAGACACACACACGGGATACATAGATGGCTCTCTCCTTTGTAACACACAGACACACATGGGATACATAGATGGCTCTCCTTTGTAACACACAGACACACGCATGGGATACATAGATGGCTCTCTCCTCTGTAACACACAGAAACACACACGGGATACGTAGATGGCTCTCTCCTTTGTAAACACACAGACACACACGGGATACATAGATGGCTCTCTCCTCCGTAACACACAGACACACACACGGGATACATAGATGGCTCTCTTCTCTGTAACACACAGACACACACGGGATACATAGACGGCTCTCTCCTCCGTAACGTACACACACACACACACACACGGGATACATAGATGGCTCTCTCCTCCGTAACACACACACACACAGACAGACACACGGGATACATAGATGGCTCTCTCCTCCGTAACACACAGACACAAACACAGACACACACACGGGATACATAGATGGCTCTCTCCTCCGTAAACACAGACACACACACAGACACAGGGGATACATAGATGGCTCTCTCCTCCGTAACACACAGACACACACGGGATACATAGACGGCTCTCTCCTCCGTAACACACAGACACACACGGGATACATAGATGGCTCTCTCCTCCTCTGTAACACACAGACACACATGGGATACATAGACGGCTCTCTCCTCCGTAACACACAGACACGCACACACGGGATACATAGATGGCTCTCTCCTCCGTAACACACAGACACACACGGGATACATAGATGGCTCTCTCTCCTCCGTAACACACACACACACAGACACACAGGATACATAGACGGCTCTCTCCTTCGTAAAACACACACACGGGATACATAGACAGCTCTCTCCTCCGTAACACACAGACACACACGGGATACATAGATGGCTCTCTCCTCCGTAACACACAGACACACACGGGATACATAGACGGCTCTCTCCTCCGTAACACACAGACACACACACGGGATACATAGACGGCTCTCTCCTCCGTAACACACAGACACACACACGGGATACATAGATGGCTCTCTCCTCTGTAACACACAGACACACACGGGATACATAGATGGCTCTCTCCTCCGTAAACACACAGACACGCACACACAGGATACATAGATGGCTCTCTCCTCCGTAACACACACACACACGAGATACATAGATGGCTCTCTCCTCCGTAACACACAGGCACACACGGGATACATAGATGGCTCTCTCCTCCGTAACACACAGACACAAACACAGGCACACACGGGATACATAGATGGCTCTCTCCTCCGTAACAGACAGACACACACGGGATACATAGACGGCTCTCTCCTCCGTAACACACACACGGGATACATAGATGGCTCTCTCCTCCGTAAACACACACGGGATACATAGACGGGAACACACAGAGACAGGGCTCTCTCCTCTGTAACACACAGAGACACACGGGATACATAGATGGCTCTCTCCTCCGTAACACACACACAGACACACACGGGATACATAGATGGCTCTCTCCTCTGTACACACACACACAGACACACACGGGATACATAGACACAGACACACACACGGGATACATAGATGGCTCTCTCCTCCGTAACACACAGACACACACAGGATACATAGATGGGCTCTCTCCTCTGTAAACACACACAGACACACACGGGATACATAGATGGCTCTCTCCTCTGTAACACAGACACGACATTTCCATCGTTGTCAGACGGATGGTGATTGTAGACACGGGGGACTCCTTATACAGTCATGTCAAATCATCTCACCTTTATGGTTTCTTTGTATGTTCAAACATGTGAACTGATACAAAATAGTATGTGAACCTTCAGAACAGAGGTCCCTGAACCTTTCAGTAGGGGGGTCACACTAGATTTTACAGATTTTCAGGAGCCTGAAAAAAATGAGTTTTATAAATGAATGACTACAATTTATTCAGCATGATATGATTCAGAACAACAGAGAAGAAACTTCCATAAAGCAAAGCAAAGACATTCCAAATAAACTTATGCCCATCAGAGTCCCCATTAGAGTCCCCCCCATACATTAGGGTCACCATCAGAGTGCCCCTACATCATGATCCCTATCAGAGATGCTCTTACATCAAGGACCCCATCAGAGTCCCTCCTTACAGCAGGGTTCCCATCTGTATCTGAGTCCTCCTTACATCAGGGTCTTCATCAAAGTACACTTTTACATTAGGGTCCCCATCAGAGCCCCCCTTACATCAGGGTTTTCATCAGAGTACTCCCTTACATTAGGGTCCCCATCAGAGCCCCTCTTACATCAGGGTTCCTATCAGAGTTCTTCTTACATTAGGGTCCCATCAGAGCCCCTCTTACATCAGGGTCTTCATCAGAATAATCTCTTACATTAGGGTCCCCATGAGAGCCCCCATTACATCAGGGTCCCTATCAGACTTCCTTTTACATCACAATCCCTCCTTACATCAGGGTTCCCGTCTGCATCTGAGTGTCAGGGAGCGAGGAGTCAGACACACAAGGAGGTGCAATTAAAGGTAGGTTTATTTACACAGAAACAAGGCAAGAGTCTATGCAAGTCCAACAGCAACAGCGGATGACTTGGTAGGACAGAAGTTCTCCTGCCGAGGTTGTCTTCCAGGATAATCAAGTCGAGAACCAACGGGAATTGTAGCCAAAGCCGGGGTCAGAAACCAGGAAGAATGGTCGCCAGAGCCGGGGTCAGAAACCAGGAAGAATGGTCGCCAGAGCCGGGGTCAGAAGCCAGGAAGAATGGTCGCCAGAGCCGGGGTCAGAAGCCAGGAATAGTGGTCGCCAGAGCCGGGGTCAGAAGCCAAGAATAATGGTCGCCAGAGCCGGGGTCAGAAGCCAGGAAGGGTCGCCAGAGCCGGGGTCAGAAGCCAGGAAGAACGGTCGCCAGAGCCGGGGTCAGAAGCCAGGAAGAACGGTCGCCAGAGCCGGGGTCAGAAGCCAGGAAGAACGGTCGCCAGAGCCGGGGTCAGAAGCCAGGAAGAACGGTCGCCAGAGCCGGGGTCAGAAGCCAGGAAGAACGGTCGCCAGAGCCGGGGTCAGAAGCCAGGAAGAACGGTCGCCAGAGCCGGGGTCAGAAGCCAGGAAGAACGGTCGCCAGAGCCGGGGTCAGAAGCCAGGAAGAACGGTCGCCAGAGCCGGGGTCAGAAGCCAGGAAGAACGGTCGCCAGAGCCGGGGTCAGAAGCCAGGAAGAATGGTTGCCAGAGCCGGGGTCAGAAGCCAGGAGGAGTCTTAGCCAAAACCGAGTCGGTATCCAGGAGAGCAAAGAGTTAACTAAACAGGAGCTTGCTTCTGTGCAACAGACAGGACATGAATGCAATGGACAGCCACAAACAGCAGACTTATATGTGATAAGCCGCCACCTCCTGGGAGGAGCCGCAGAGGGCTGAAAGCATAAAGGATCCCACAATGCTTTGCAGACCTAAGATGGATGCCAGCACATGGAGCAGCATAAGCCCTGAGGAAAGGTAGGACCTTGATACTGAGTCCCCCTTACATCAGGGTCCCTATCCGAGCTCCCTTACATCAGGGCCTGTATCGGAGTCGCCCTTTACATCAGAGTTCCCATCTGCATCTAAGTCCTCCTTACATCAGGGTTCCTATCAGAGTTCTTCTTACATTAGGGTCCCATTAGAACCCTCCTTACATCAGGGTCTTCATCAGAATACTCCCTTACATTAGGGTCCCCATGAGAGCCCCCATCACATCAGGGTCCCTATCAGACTTCCTTTTACATCAGAGTCCCTCCTTACATCAGATAAACCGATATGTGTAGCATGATGGTGCAGCTGCAAGCTGGACCTCAATAATCACCTCACCAGTATGAAGGGGGAGCGGTGTCCACAATAGTTTCCAGTCTTGCAAGCATGATGTGAGAAAGGACGCCGCTCTAACCACTCGTGGAATCTAGTATGAAGATGGCCTCAGCTGCTGCTCGGGCCACGCCCACTGACGTGTTTCGCCCAGCCCACCGGGGCTTGATCACAGAAGAGTCCTCTGTGACCAAGCCCCAGTGGGCAGGGCAAAATGCATCAGAGGGCGTGGCCGAAGCGATGGCTAGGGCCATCTTCATACTAGATTCCACCAGTGGTTAGAGCGGCGTCCTTTCTCACATCCTTCTTAAATCAGGGTCCATATGAGAGCCCCCTTACATCCAGACCCACATCAGAGTCCTCCCTTATTTCAGAGTTCCCATTTGCATCTAAAGTCTCCTTACATCAGGGTCCCCATCAGAGCCCCCCTTACATCAGAGTCTTCATCAGAGTACCCCATTACATTAGGGTCCTCATCAGAGCCCCCTTACATCAGGGTCTTCATCAGAGTACCGCATTACATTAGGGCCCCTTTCAGAGTCCTCCTTACATCAGGGTCCCTATCAGAGCCCCTTTACATCAGGGTCTCATTTAAAGCACTCCATTACATCAGGATTCCCATCAGATCCCACCTTACATCAGGGCCTTCATCAGAGTATCCCTTACATCAGTCCCTCCTCACATCAGAGTCCCTATCAGATCAGCACGTGACTGGCTGTCAGGACATTGGGAGCACTGGCAACCAATGATGTTACAGCGAGAGTGAAGCCAAGAGACTGAAGGGAAGGGGTGGCCTCTCACCTAGCTGAGGGCCAGGTAAACCTTGCAGCAGTTACATAGCATCAATTCAATATGTATTTCTACAGTGCTTTTCTCCCTGGGGAAAGCTCTTAGGAGATGAAGCAACCATCCTGAGCACAATCAAGTGACCTACCAGCATGTCTTTGGGAGGAAACCCATGCAAGCACAGAGAGAACATGCAAATTCCATGGTCAGGATTTGAACCAAGGACCCTAGTGCTGCAAGGCAGAAGTACTAACTGCTAAGGCATTTTGCTGCTAAGGAAACCACTTTAGGGGTGGAGAAGAAAAGGCGGGGGTTGTTACAGAGTTTTATCTTTAATTATAAATTGATTACCAGCACATTTCAGGGTTACAGAATCCCCCTTCTTCAGGGCCTGGATGTGCAGGAGAACGCTTCATTGAAGTACAGCTGCTGCAGCAACCATTCAGTGCATGGGTTTCTGCTGCCTTAGTGAGATAGTAAGGCAGCAACAGGGGCGGACTGACCATTTCAAAACTCGGGCACTGCCCGAGGGCCCGGGGCCAGTAGGGGGCCCCATGAGAAGCCCCTGGTACCTTTTTCATAGGTTTTTTTGAGTTTGGGCAAAGACACAGGGGCCCCATGATCCCCTATTGCCCGGGGGCCACATGAGTTTTCAGTCCACCCCTGGGCAGCAATTCAGTGTTCTGCATCCTGGACTTTGTTGTCTGGAACGTGTCGTATTCTGTAGCCAGTAGAAGCCAGTAGAGAACGATTTCTGTATTACTCGCTTCCTCTGCTGTTCTCACAGTAGTGCAACCCTCCCCCCCTCCCAAGCCAACACTATCCACTATCCTGCTGTGAGCTGGGGGTGGGGGGGGGATAGTTCTGTATTGGGAAGGTAAGGGGGATTTGGGAGGGGGGATTTAGGGGGAGAGCTTTGTGCTGGGTAGTTGGGGGGAGAGTTCTGTACTGGGGAGGTGGGGAAAGCTTGCAATTGGGGGGGCTCTGTACTGAGGGGGTTGGGACTAGGGAGGGGGGGGAGAGAGCTCTGTATGGGGGGGGGGGAGGGATTTGAGTGGAATTTTTTGTGGAGAGCTCTGTACTAGGGTAGTATGTGTGGGTGCTCTGTACTGAGAGGGGGATTTGGAATTTTGGGGAAGAGCTCCGTACTGGGAAAGGGGGTTTGCGGGCAGAGCTCTGTACTGGGGGGGGGGGGGGGGGTTGGAGGAAGAGCTCTGTACTGGGGGAGGAGTTTGAGGGAAGGTAGCTCTTGGTTAACTGGCCTGTGTGATACACACTCCTGAACCCTGCACCCTGTGTGATACACACTCCTGAACCCTGGACCCTGTGTTACATACACTCCTGAACCTTGCACCTTGTGTGATACACACTCCTGAACACTGCACCCTGTGTGATACACACTCCTGAACCTTGCACCCTGTGTTATATACACTCCTGAACCTTGCACCCTGTGTGATACACACTCCTGAACCTTGCACCCTGTGTTATATACACACTCCTGAACCTTGCACCCTGTGTGATACACACTCCTGAACCCTGCACCCTGTGTGATACACACTCCTGAACCCTGCACCCTGTGTGATACGCACTCCTGCTTGCTGCATTCTGGACGTTATGTACTCCTGAGTACTGTGCAATACACAGTTGTGAGCCCTGCACCCTGTGTTATATACACTCCTGAGCCCTGCACCTCATGTGATAAGCACTCCTGAGCCCTGCACCCTGTATGATACACACTCCTGAGCCCTGCACCCTGTGTGATACTCCTGAACCCTGTGCCCTGTGTGATACGCACTCCTGCTTGCTGCATTCTGGATGTTATTTACTCCTGAGTACTGTGCAATACACAGTTGTGAGCAGTGCACCCTGTGTTATATACACTCCTGAGCCCTGCACCTCATGTGATAAGCACTCCTGAGCCCTGCACCCTGTATGATACACACTCCTGAGCCATGTACCCCATGTAATAAGAACTTCTGAGCCCTGCACCCTGTGTTATATACATTCCTGAGCCATGTACACTGTGTGGTAAGCACTTCTGAGCACTGCACCCTGTGTGATATACACTCCTGAGCCCTGCACCCTGTGTGATATACACTCCTGAGCCCTGCACCCTGTGTGATACACACTCCTGAGCCCTGCACCCTGTGTGATACACACTCCTGAGCCCTGCACCCTGTGTGATACACACTCCCGTACCCTGAACCCATGTGATACACACTCCTGAGCCCTGCACCCTGTGTGATACACACTCCCGTACCCTGAACCCATGTGATACACACTCCTGAGCCCTGCACCCTGTGTGAAATACACTATTGAGCCTTGCAGTCTGGGCTTTATGCACTGGTGAGCCCTGCACTCTTTGTAATATGCAATCCTACGCCCTGTGCTCTGTGTGATATGTACTCTAGAGCTCTGCACCTTGGGAGATAAGCAGTCCTGAGCCCTGCATTATATACAATTTGTTGCACATTTCATATTACTGACACCTGCACTCTGTTTGCTGGGCTGTATATGACACACACTTAACTACTGCACTCTTAATGCTATATCTTACACTACATATTTCTGACCAAAGTGTTTCTTGTCTCAACACTTGAGTACCTGTACCTGTTCTCTAACAAAAAAAAGTCCCTGCCAGGGGCGGACTGACCATTCGAGCACTCGGTTACTGCCCGAGGGCCTGGAGTCAAAAGGGGGGGGCCCCATGAAATGCCTCTGGTACCTTTTTTATAGGCTTTCTTGGGTGTGCTTGGAGTGTGGGCAAGGACACAGGGGCCCCATGATACCCTATTGCCCGGGGGCCACATGAGTTGTCAGTCCACCCCTGGTCCCTGGTTGCATCTATAAAATTCCCCAAAAAATCTGTTTTTTGCTACCTGCTTTTCACAACAGAATTCTATTGGAGTACAATATTGTCCAATCACATATTCAGATAACCTTCCTGGCAATCCAATAGATACTCCCTGGGTGAACATCTGTGACTAAGCCTTTCTGTCTGTGGAGTTTAAAGCCCCACTCCAGGAAATCTGAAAATACCCCCTTGTAGTGTGTCCATGCTTGCATTATGGGGGTTAGCTGCTTGTTTATTCTAGGTGAGTAAAAGTATTTTGCTCACCCCGTCCTCCACTCCCCTGACAGACAGCACTCTCCCATGCTCCAGTGATGGACTGTCTCTTAGTTTCATCATGTCCAAAGCAGGGCAATGGACCCTGCATCAGTCAGCCTCAGACCACTGGAACATGGGGAAGAAGACACTATGGGGGCCAGTCTAGTGCAGTGCAGAGGACTGAAGGATCAGGCAAGTAACATTTTTCTATATCCCCTAGACCTAAACAAGCAGAACCCCACCGTAAAGAGGAATTTTCAAGTTTTTTGGAGTTTGGCTTTAAACCTCAGTTCCTCCGAACACAAAGCGTGACTCCTTGTCTGTTCCAGTGGCCTTAAAATGAACAGCTTTACTTTATGTACCATCTATGTATCATATGTCCCCTTAAACACCGCTTCTCGAGGTCCTCCATACCTTTTATTAATTTAGTGGCCCTTCCCTGCACTCTCTCCAGTTCTCCAATATCCTATTTGTAAACTGGATCCCAAAACTAAACTGCCTATTCCAGATACGGAGGTATTACTATTGCTTTCTACAAGGGCACCGTTACGTCTGTCTCTCTTTTTTCTATCTGTTAATACAATAAGACATATCTTCATATCTTGCTTACTCTAGAACAGCCTTCCTCAACTATTTTACCCAAGAAGAACCCTTGAAATAATTTTTAGGTCTTGGGGGAACCCCAAAAACCCCAGGAAAACCAATTCATTGGTTGATCAGTGGGAAAAGTGCCCTTTACATTGGTGGCCACTGGGAAGAATGCCCCCCTTATAGTGATGGTCAGAATGCCACCCTTATAGACAGCTGAAAAGAGTATTGGTGTGTAGGCATGTGCAGTCTGTTTTCTCCACTGCCGGTGGCTCTCAACGAGCAGTTGAGCTCCACAGCTGCAGAGGAAGTCAGGAGAAGCCTGGTTTCTCTATGGTTTCCTTGGTCATCTAGCAGCATTCTCGGTTGGCTACACTGCAACCATGTGACCCCTGGTAGCCACCTTGGATCAGTGGGGTCTTTAAAAGTTCCTGCCCCTGGGTTTTGGGGAGCTTTGTGCAAAGTGGGAAGAGTTCGGAGAGATACATCATGTGCCAGGGAAAGTCACTAGTGACAGGGCAAGGTTCCTGATGAGTAGGGACAGATTAGGAATTTGTTTCTCAAGGGAGCCTCCCTTTTTGGGACCAGACCAGTCAGGCCGCACTCCGCCCTCTAAAACAGACGCTGTTGGTGCATCCGCTCTCGTTGCATCTCTGCGCTCTCCTGCTGGGGTGTCTGTAATGTTGGCATTCTGCTCAATACAGGTTTGAAGTTTGCTATGACTGGACTCTGTGTATTTACTTCCTGCACCGTGCTGTACCTCCCCACACTTGGCAGCAGTTGGCAGGATATGTCCCATGCAGCGGGTGCAGAAAGAAGGCTGGGCTCTAGCATGGCTCCACTAGGGTCCGCCTTGCTCCTTTTACCTGAGTTTAATGGCTTTAACATCCACTTGGCAGCACGGGAGGAGAGGCAGGAGAGAGCGGCACAACTGTACCAGGTTCTGACCAGGTTAGTGTTAGAAAGCCTAGTCTAGTTAGTCTAAAGCCATTAATGCTTTAGAGAAGGATGCCCGCAAGGCAGCAAAGACACCCCTGCCCCTCACTCGGGAGAGCCTTCCACTAACCCCACCCCCCCCCATCTCGTCGATAGAGAGAAAGACACTCATCTTCAAAGCTCAGGACATCCCTGGGAACGAGAGCCAGGCTCTACATACACCATCAAGAAGCCTGCAGCCTCTCTGGGATCCCACCTGGTTCCCATGGAGGCCGTGTCCCTTCTTTCATCCCTTTTTCTGAGGGGAGGTGCTGCCCCCTCTGAAAAATGCTGCCCTAGGCAAGTGCCTTGTTTGCCTTGTTGTAAATACGCCCCTGATATTACCACTAGTGTGACACCCTTGCTACATTGTAAATTGATCTTTCTGAAGACCCCCTCCTTTGTCACAAGAGGGCAGCTTCACCAAAGGGATTCAGCTTAAATTGGTAGCAACTTCCACTTTTTCTCTTGTACCTACAGGCAAGACTATAAAAAAAAACTGATTATTGAATATCTCCTAAACATGCACCGTTTAGAAGACATTTATATGTATAGCAGCCGGTGACTTCATTGATGCATGTGCACTGCGTTCTCAATGGATAGCAAGCCATCCATTGAGAGAGATTTGCTGAGATTGTGACTCCCACACGTATGTGCAGGAGTGACACACAAACCTAGAAGGAAGATTGGGCAGGGGTGGAATCCCTGTCAGCGGTGACAGGGCACTTCTGGAGGAATCTGTATTTTAGGTAAGTCTGCCATAATGTGCACATTATGACATGAACCTGCAGGGGGACCAGTTTTTCCAATGCAGTTTACTATCAATTTAATGCATAAGATTTTAGACATGATGATCTAGCACCTTTTATGCATATACTCCAAATTTTTATTGTTGTCTACGTTCCTGCTGGAAAGGTTTATTTATTTCAGGTACTTATATAGCACCATCAATTTACACACCACTTTACAAGGGGTGTACAATCTAAGGTCCCTAACTTACATTCATACATACACATACTAGAGCCAATTTTAGACAGGAGGCAATTAACCTACCAGCATGTCTTTGGAGTGTGGAAGGAAACCGTAGTACCCAGTGGAATACCCACACAGGCACAGGGAAAACATGCAAATTCCGGGCAGGTGGTGCTGTGGTTGAGATTCAAACCAACGACCCGAGTACTGCCAGGCAGAAGTGCTAACCATTTAGCCACTGTGCTACCCAAACCCAAAGGTTCCCTGTAGACATGTGTGGTTCGTTCAAAGACTGATGATTTCCTTCAAAGACTGTATATATTGGTGTTAGAATATATCTGTCTTCCAAAAATTCAAACATATAAAATGAATTGTGAATGCAACACAACAAAATGAGTAACTTAACGAATCGATCCAAGATTAAACAAAACAAATTTTTTCGTTCTGCACATATCTAGTTCCCCTTTCTTTGTCATGTTGGCCGCTGTCACCAGAAACGAAAGTGAGGATATGTCCAACATTTTAAGTTGTTGCCAAAACAAGAATAGAAGTGAAATCTTCCAATGTCCTCGTGACACCGAAGAGGGATTTCCCTCACCTTGGGGAGATTTTTTCCAACTTCTTCTTGTGTCTACAGGACAGGAAGCGAAGAGAAATCTCACCAACAGATCTTAGCTGGAAAAAAAAACTGTTAAACCTGATATAATCTGGTTTTAGGAAGCACAAGGGTGGCCTTTCTGGAGCAAGTGTATGACCTATGAGCAGGACAAGGAGGTCTGTGTTAGCTTCCTGATAGGAGTGCCAAAAGTATTGGGCCAGCCCTCCAAATCATGTGATTCAGGTGTTCCAATCACCTCCATGGCCACAGGTGTAGAAAATCAAGCACCTAAGTATACAGACTGCTTCTACAAACATTTGTGAAAGAATGGGTCGCTCTCAGGAGCTCAGTGAATTCAAGTGTGGTACCGTGATAGGTTGCCACCTGTTCAATAAGTCCATCTGTGACATTTCCTGGCTACTAAATATTCCACGGTCAACTGTTAGTGGGATTATAACAAAGTGGAAGCAACTGGGAACAGCAGCAATTCAGCCACCAAGTGGTAGGCCACGTAATATGACAGAGTGGGGTCAGCGCATGCTGAAGTGCACAGTGCACAGAAGTCACCAACTGTCTGCAGCTTCATGGAATGCGTTTCCATGGCCAAGCAGCCGCATTCAAGCCTTACATCACCAAGCGCAACGCAAAGCGTCAGATGCAGTGGTGTAAAGCACGCTGCCACTGGACTCTAGAGCAGTGGAGAAGTGTTCTCTGGAGTGACAAATCACGCTTCTCTGGCAATCCGATGGATGTGTCTGGGTTTGGGGGTTGCCAGAAGAACGGAACTTGCCTGACTGCATTATGCTGAGTGTAAAGTTTGGTGGAGGGGGGATTATGGTGTGGGGGTTGTTTTTCAGGGGTTGGGCTTGGCCCCTTTGTTCCAGTGAAGGGAACTCTTAAGGCGTCAGCATACCAAGACATTTTGGACATGCTCCTAACTTTGTGGGAACAGTTTGGGATGGCCCCTTCCTGTTCCAACATGACTGCACACCAGTGCACAAAGCAGGGCCATAAAGACATGGATGAGCGAGTTTGGGGTGGGGAACATGACTGGCCTGCACAGAGTCCTGACCTGAACCCAATAGAACACCTTTGGGATGAATTAGAGCCAAGGTGTCTCGTTCAACATCAGTGCCTGACCTCACAAATGCCCTTCTAGAAGAATGGTCAAACCTTCCCATATACACACTCCTAAACCTTGTGGACAGCCTTCCCTGAAGAGTTGAAGCTGTTATAGCTGCAAAGGGCGGGGCCAACTCAATATTGAACCCTACGGACTAAGACTGGGATGTCATTAAAGCTCATGTGCGTGTAAAGGCAGGCGTCCCAATACTTTTGGCAATATACTGTATTACCACCATAGCTGACATGTTATTAACAAGAAAAAGAATTATTCCCAGAAGAAGTCTAAATCTGGTGCATTGATAGTGAATTCTGGAAGAACCAGAGATGAACCATTTTAGCATAGTAAAGGTTGGTCCACTATTCTGTTCATCTGCTTGGCCAAATGTAACCCATCACTAGGAGCCAAGAGAGCTGCCCACTTTGCCCAGCTGTATGCTGAAGCTCTTTGACTATTATATATATTCCTGAACAGCTAACTTGCATTTACTCTGTTTCTGCGGGACATGATGGGTCTTGTAGTTCCACTAGAGCTAGCGAGCCACAGGCTGCCTGCTGGTCATGCACGGTATAACAGCGTGCATGTCAGCTGAATAGGGAAGGGAGGCAGCAGCACATAGGCTCTATGCGGACGCCCCCTCCATTCCTTATCAGCAGTGTGGAAATTTCCACTGTCTCTGTGACTATCAGAGCATTGGAGGCTGTGTGCAATACAATGGAGACATTTATAGCTGGCTATCTCTGAGCTTCTCATTAATTCATATAACCTCTGGTAATAGAATGCAGAGAGAAAGAGGTATGCGGCAGGACATTAGTGGCAGCATTGCAACACAGGGACTGTAGGGTCAGCTTAAAGGAGCAGCACCCTATTATGGAAAGTTACCTTTGTGTGAAGGAGGGTTCTTACAGACAGCAGACCTTGTAGGCGACTGAACTCTCCCCATGCCGAAATTGTATGGGGTAGTGCTGCAACGCTTGCTTTTGCAGTGCTTGTGCAATAAGGAGACCCTGTCACCAACTTACAAAATTACAGAAAAATCAAGTATTTAAAATGCTTACTTGCAATGTTTTTCATCTCCACAAATTATTATTTTTTTTTTATTATTATACAGTATTTATATTGCGCCAACAGTTTTCTCAGCGCTGTACATTACAATGGGAGATAATACACGAGACAGTACAGTAACAATACAGTGCAATATACGAGGGGTTCGAGGGCCCTGCTCCTTGGAGCTTACAATCTAGGAGGGAGGGGAGAGTGGTACAGGAGGAAAGAGCTGTGGGGGATGGAGCGGTAGGAAGAGTGGAGGAGATCGCAATTAGGTGAGGGCGGGGTAGGCTTCCCTGAAAAGATGGGTTTTCAGGGTGCGCCTAAAGGTGAGGAGGGTAGGTGACATTCTGATGGATTGGGGTAGGGAGTTCCAGAGGATGGGGGAAGCTCTGGAGAAGTCTTGGAGACGGGCATGGGAGGAGGAGACCAGGGAACTAGAGAGTAGGAGGTCTTGTGAAGAGCGGAGAGTACGTTTTGGGTTGTATATGGATATCAGGTCGGTGATGTAGTTTTGGGCGTGTTATGAACAGCTTTGTACGTCAATGTTAGTAATTTGAATTTGATCCGTTGGGCAATCGGAAGCCAGTGGAGGGATTGGCAGAGGGGGGGTGGCGGATACGGAGCGGTTAGTAAGGTGGATGAGTCTGGCTGCAGAATTCAGGATAGACTTGCAATGTGCCTCTGAACGTGTTAGGCTCCATGTACACTGCAGCTGAAAAACTCACGTTCAGGAGCTTTTCTGCGTTTTCTTCAGCAGTCCCTGAACTCTCCCTAATGTTTTCCTATGTGTCCATGTACACATCGTTGTTTACAGGCAGTTGAGTTTACAGTCGTTTTTTTGAACGCACCAAACTTGCGTTCAGGAGTAGATTTTATCAGCGTTTCAGACGCCAAATGCTTGTACACAGTATTAACCGCGTTTATAAGCGTTTGTGTTTAGAAGCGTTTTTTAACTCTTCCATATCCAGATGCTGTCCAGAGCCGTTTTTCATCATCAGAAATTCATGCAAGTTCAAATGGACCTGGCACACCAGCGCAGTCAGTTCCAGGTTTCGCGTGAAGGAAAAAATGGTAGAACGCGCTCATGATGGGATCCATAGTGAATACAACCAGAAAAGACAGGTAATCTCAACACATACTGCTCTCTCTGCTTCTGCTCTCTCTATTTCTCTAAAACGTCTGAAATAGTTAATTTTTTTACTGTTTTTTAGTGCATTCTGGGCATTTTGGAAGGTCTCCTGAGTTTATCTTAAAAAACGCTTCTAAACCGCAAACGCGCTTAAAATGACATTTTTTAACCTAGGTTTTTCAGCAGTCAGTTTCCATCTTTCAGAAGTGTTTTCCAAATGTCCTGTGTACATGGAGCCTTAGCAAATCTCATAACTTTGGAAGAGCCAATATCCTCCATGCATGCCATAGCCCTCTCCTCTTCTGGGAGTGTCAAATTGCTCTCTATGCTGGCCCAGCTCCTCCACCTCACACTTCATCTCCCTCAATAACCTAGGAGTGAAGGTAAATACTATTGGTATCACTTGAGTGAAAGCTCTGAGTCTGCAGACATCACATCCAAGATGGCGGTGCCCAGACGTTGTCACCCACCAGCAAGTCAAAGATTTCTGGCCGAATAGTGACTGCATCTATCAGATGCAGTCACTGTTCGGGTATTAAGGTATTGGCAGGGGAGAGTTCTTCATCCATGTTATTTAGCATGGATGGGGGAATCAAGTGATTTCTCTTGAAACGTATATAGCTAGCCTAACTCACCCTTCTATACCCGGACAGTAGAAGACAGGACTATAAAACCCCATCCCTCTCCTATTGTCCATGTCCAGGGATGGGTTTTCTCTAGTTCTTAGAGACAACAGAGGCAGAGAGCGCTCACAAAACTTCTGTCAGGATCAACAGGTATTGTTTTACTTGTTCGGCCGGGTTCACACTGATGCGGTGCGGAATTCGTAGCGTCGTCAGTGCAAATTCTGCACCGCATAACAATCGCACCCCGTTCATGCGAACCACTACAGGTGTGTATGTTACGTTAACAACACCCCGAAAGCAGTCCGCAAAACGCGGTGCGATGTGCAGAATCGAATCACATAGGTGTGAATACCCATGTGATCCTATTCTAGTGCAGACCAATAAAGGGTCCTGCACCTTTTTTTGTACGGGTGCGGTGTGAATAGAGTCATATAAAATGTACGGCTCCAATCATACCACACACAAATCGCATGTGATTTGCACAGGAGTGCGGTGCGGTTCCTGTGGGAATCACATGCGATATACCGCACCGCATATATGTGAACCCAGGATTAAACTGATATAACAAAACAAATCACGAGGCCCCATACAACCTGGCAACCCGCCCCCCAGCCATGAAAATATCAAATTTTATTTTCACTAAAAACCATTATTAGTTGGCACAAATACAACAAAATTCCTGCTAAATCTAAAAGAAAAAAAACTGTATTGAGTTATGAAAATAAATCTCTGTATGTGACTGAGGTGTTGGGGTCATTCAGATGGGCGCCGTAGCCTGAACTGTGTGAATCAGCAGTTTGTATAAAGTGGCTGGAGCTGTATGCAGACAGCTCATGTTGTGCTGTGAGGACTCAGCAGCTGTATGAACACAGCCACAGGCTGTAATTTGACAGGCATTTGGGTGCAATGTACAGTCCCAAACACAGACATTGTGCATTCAGGGTCACTCACCCACACCTGATAAATTAGGAGCCGCGGCTGTACTCATACAGCCACTACATCCCCATAGAGTAACGGGGCTTCAGCCGCATTAATAAACTACTCATTAACACAGCCAGCGTGCCTGTGCGAATAAGCCCTTAAGGGTCGTTCACACGTGAGGTCTGTAAAATCCTGCAGTTGAGCTGTGCTTTTACCCCCCCCCCCCCCCCCAACTGCTACTCCCTTTATTTGCAGAGGCAGTGGCTGGTGGTGTACACATGCAGCGGCTGCGATGCTTTGCTTCTCAGTCAATGTAGAAATTATACCTGCTGGAGAAATTATAAGGCAGGAGGTGAGTAGGCTTATCACCAAATATCGACAAATGATCTCTGAATTGCGATCTGAATGCCAATTGCTCTTCAGAGAGCAAAGCACATGTGAATGAGCCCTTCATTTCCTTTTAATTATTTTTTGCAATTTTATTTATTTTTTTTTAATTTTTTAACAGCTCTGTTGGGGGGATACTCTTGTGACACATCAAGGCTGTAAACAGACTCCTGATGTCTCACTGTAAAGACAAAGGAAAGGAATGAGGACACAGATTCCTCAGGGCTGGTTCACACTATAGAAACGCAGTCCAGATGCCTTCTAGATGCACTTTTTTATGGGCATTTTTGATGCGTTTGTGGCAGGTTCCAGTGTGTTTTTGATGCGTTTTGACGCGTTCCAGTGCGTTTTTTTATGCATTCCAGTTAATTTTTTCCCCCTCTCTTTTTTTCAGTTTAAATGTGCGTACCAGTACATTTTTGGTGCATTCCTGTGCGCTTTAACGTGTTCCGGTACACTTCTGTGCAGAAAAAAATGCAGCACGTTCTACTTTTTTTTCTGCAAATGGAACAGCAAGCACTGATGTGAACTATGACATTGACAACCATATACGGGGCAGCACAGTGGCTAAATGGTTAGCACTTCCGCCTGGCAGTACTAGGGTCGTTGGTGTGAATCCCAACCACAGCACCACCTGCCTGGAGTTTGCATGTTCCCCCTGTGCCTGTGTGGGTTTCCTCCCACACTCCAAAGACATGTTGGTAGGTTAATTGGCTCCTGTCTAAATTGGCCCTAATATGTGTATGAATGTGAGTTAGGGAACCTTAGATTGTACACCCCTTGAGGGTTAGGGACTGATGTGAATGTATAAAATATGTATGTGTAAATTGACAGTGTTATATAAATACCTTAAATAAAAATATAACCTACTTTATGTGCATTTTGGATGCAGAAAAAAAGCAACTGAACCGGATGTAGTGTGAACTGGCCCTCAGTCCTTTTCACTGCAGATGAATAAATAGGAAGCAGGGGGGGCGGACTGACCATTTGGAAACTCGGGCACTGCCCGAGGGCCCGGGGTCAGTAGGGGGCCCCATGAGATGCCCCTGGTACCTTTTTTCATAGGCTTTTTGAGTTTGGGCAAGGACACAGGGGCCCATGATCCCCTTATGCCCTGGGGCCCCATGAGTTGTCAGTCCGCCCCTGATAGGAAGCATTCAAGGTTTCTTGTTGATTCACAAAAAAAAATTCACATAAACACCGTTTACCATGCTTCAGTTATAAATGAACACAGTAGCAATTGGTACCAATTACTAACTGTGTTCATTCAGGAAAGAATGACAAACCGCATATGACATATTTACCCCCGCTCTCCTTCCTGAAATAAATCCACCTGTGAGCCGGCAGCACTGTGGGCAGAGGAGCACACAGAGGGGTCTGGACAGCAGGGGAAAGGGGGTGTGGTTGATCAGATTGGCGGGGGATGGGAGAGCACAGATACTGATCATTCTGTGTCTGCACAGCAGGGGGAGCCACGGGAGGATGGGTTTCAGTGATAAGGCAGTAAAGCCAGCTCTCCTGCTCTACACGTACCCGGGCCCCCCAGGTGAACTGATAGGGCCCAGGCCCAGTACAGAGGGCCAGCTGTACCCCCTTATCAGCAGCTCTGCTTTTAATAGGAAATGTAACAGACCTAAAGGGACTAAATAGGAGACGTTCATTGTCAGGGTTTACTTAAGTCCAATTGTTTCTATATAAAGAAGCACCTGACGTGAAGCTGGTCATTTTTGATAAATAATATAAATTGGAAAAGTGTTTGGTAGCATTAAATGAATGAAGGCATTCAGTGACTAGTCCTCTTTGGAGCCCATGGTGATTATTTTTGCTGTGCAGGCTCAGCAGAGCCCCGGTGGTAGGACAATAATTGCGCTCTCCTCCTCTGCCATCCACAGCTCTGATTACGGTACATTGTGCTCTAATAGTCAGCCATTCCTTGCCGGTTATTTAGCGGCTTTAATCAGCATTGCCCTTGTGTGCCCTGTACCTGCCTGCCCTTTATTACCGCTTGTTTATAATTCAGGCTGTGAGCTCCCTATTGATTTATCCAATTAGTTTCTTATACGGTCCTGCTTTTTTTTAGGCCATCCCTATAATTGCTTGTACCTTTTCTTTTTTCCTAATCAAAGTTTTAAAGCAAGAGGCAAGGGATCAAACTGCAGTGCCCCCCTATGTTGGAACTCCTGCCTATGTTCCCACAAACCTGGATGGTGGTTGTGGGGGTCTGCAGGCAGGGGGCTTATCGGAATCTGGAAGCCCCCAGATTCCCCCCCCCCCCAATGTGAATAGGCATGCCTATAGGAGACGAGTCTTTTATTAAAAATAAAAAAAGTCCCTCCGAAGTAGATCCAAAGTTAATCATGAATCAAAAAAAAAAGTGTAGTGTATAAAAAGACAGGAGACAAGTCTTATTAAAAATGAAAAAAAAAAAAGTCCACCGAAGTAGATCCGAAGTCAATCACGTATCAAACAAAAGTGTAGTGTACAAAAAGACAGGAGACAAGTCTTTTATTAAAAATAAAAATTTTAAAAAGTCCCCCAAAGTAGATCCGAAGTCAATTACGATTAAAAAAAAAGTGTAGTGTATAAAAAGACAGGAAACAAGTCTTTTATTAAGAATAAAAATTTAAAAAAGTCCCCCGAAGTAGATCCGAAGGCAATCCCGAATCAAAAAAAAAGTGTAGTGTATTAAAAGACAGGAGACAAGTCTTTTATTAAAAAGAAAAAGAAAAAAAGTCCCCCCGAAGTAGATCCGAAGTCAATTACGAATCAAAAAAAAAAAAAGTGTAGTGTATAAAAAGACAGGAGATGAGTCTTTTATTAAGAATAAAAATTAAAAAAAGTCCCCTGAAGTATATCCGAAGTCAATCACGAATCAAAAAAAAAAAGTGTAGTGTATAAAAAGACAGATGACGAGTCTTTTATTAAAAATAAAAATTTAAAAAAGTCCCCTGAAGTAGATCCGAAGTCAATCACGAATCAAAAAAAAAGTGTAGTGTATAAATAGACAAGAGACAAGTCTTTTATTAAAAGAAATATTTTAAAAAGTCCCCCGAAGTAGATCCGAAGTCAATCATGAATCAAAAAAAGTGTAGTGTATAAAAAGACAGGAGACAAGTCTTTTATTAAAAATACAAATAAAAAAAAGTCCCCCGAAGTAGATCCGAAGTCAATCACAATGCCTGCCGCCACTGCCGACCCAAAAAAAGGAATGAAAATCCGCTCCTCCGTCAATGCCGGCTCCCACCGTCAGTTGCGCCACGATGACAGTTTTCTTAAATATGGTGATGACGTCACAAGGGGATGGGATCACCCCACCCTTGTGACATCATCATGCCCTGTGATTAGCCAAAGCTTTGCACCTGGCCCGCCGAATGCCCGTCCCATTCAAGTCGAACGTAAGTCGAACATGCAGCCCATCACTAATTTTCAGATATTTAGAAGGGAGATGAGTCCTGAAGAAAAAGGTCTTCTAGATACACTGTATGCCCTGAGTTCTGAAAAGGGCAAGTAAAGGTGCAAGTTCCTTATGGGAATACTCTGGGAGCAGAGAATAGGCCAAATGGCAGTGGGCAAAAATGGAAGTGTTTCTTTGCTACAGCAAAGTGCAGAAAGCACTGATGAGGTGGGTAAATGAGAATATGCAGGTAGGCATCTTGACCAGACATTCCCCTTGTCTTAGAGAAATTCTATAAAATGTGGAATGTGAAGGTGTTTGTTTAGGGATAAAAGGTCCAGGATAAGATGAACCTCACTGTTGGGTTTTGGTACTGTGAACAAGTTTGAAAGTTTTTTGAACCTGTTCTGTCTCTCCAATCTAAGCATTGATAGTGTGATCTCTGTAACTTACAGTTGTGATGAGATAGCGATAACTCCAATCTTAGCTGAATAACACAGCAGTGACTCAATCCTGATGACACCTTGTAGATCTTGTGAACTTTGTTCCATAAACTGAGAGAATCTTACAACAATGAACATCGGATAAGTCAAAAGATCATAATGTGATCTGCTTCCATAAGACATGAGGCTAGAAGCTCCAACTTATTACTTGGAAAAAGGGTGGGTTATCTATACAACATGAACTAAACCAGAGGAAAGGGAGGAGCAGAGACAAAAATTCAAAGAACACCTAAAGGCATATGACAGTCATATGAAACATGACAGAACCTGTCCTGCAGAAGGATCAAGACAGCCACTGCCTGGGACAAGATACTATTCAACATGCTCTGCAAATCTGACTTTCTTTGAGAAAGTTTTGTTTGGTTTGAGAGGTTTGAACTTGTAACTTGTGCTTTAATACCACAAATTGAACTCACAGATCTAGAACGTGATCTTGTGACCCAAATTATTTATTTCTCTGTGACCCAAAATAATTATGTTGTCCTTATTCTGACACCCCTAGGCATAACAAATATTTAACCCTTGCAACGCAGGATGGCCCCACTAAAAGGAAGATTTGTTTTTTCCATTCCTGGTGTTGAGCTTTAAAGAATATGTTCACTTTTGCTAGACAACTGCCTATAGTCAAAAAGCCCCTAGCAAGTAATGTGACAGGAGATAATGTACTATTGATGAATGGGGATTTGAATGAAGAAACGCACTAGCTTCCCCCTGCTGAGGGCAAGGGTCCAATGCCTGGAGTGTTTTAGCAACAGGACAGATTGGCACAGCTATTTATGTGTTTTTTTTGGCTTCTTGGGCAGCACAAAATGCCTACAGGTATGGGATTTACATTATTCAACATTTTAAAAGCTGTATTACCTGTCGGGGCCCCTTGACTGCATAAGCATTTTTCTTGCAAAGATGAACTTAACTTTTTACATTTTGAACTACCCAGAGATGCTTCTGTTGGTGTCACTCATTCCTCTTTATCTTTTCAGCAAGCAGTGTAGTCTTTACCAGAGACACCATATGAAAACTCAGCAGGTGTACAGAGCTCCCCATTGCCCAACGAATAAAATTCAAAACATTAACTACTTGCCGCCCAGTCACTGTACATATACGGCGGCAGGGCAGCACTAGCAGGCAAAACCACGTTTTAAAGCGTGTGTTTTGTAAACAAATAGGGGGCGCGTGCGAGGCGCGCCGCCGCATCTGTCCCGCGGATCACCGCCGCAGATGTCAGTCGCCGGGTCACAGCCGCTCCTTAGCGGCTATGTCCCGGCGATCGGCGGCAAACAGTGACAGAGAGCACAGCTGCAGTAGCTGTGCTGTCTGTCACTTCCCTGTCAGCTCGAGGATGAGCTGATTGAGAAAGAACAGTTTCTCTTTCTCGATCAGCCTTGTCCCATCCAGCACACACCCCCGCCCCCTAGTAAAACACTCCCCTCACTCCTATAACCCTTCCCTGCAAAATAAAGTTAACCCCTTCCTCCCCATTGCCATTAGTACAGTGTCAGTGTTTTTTTTTTTTTTGCACTGATCACTGTATTAGTGTTTTTGGGGACGTCAGTGACCCCAGGTCAGTACCCCTCAATGTCAGAATGTCCGCCGCAGTCCAGCAGTCCCGCCATAAGTCGCTGGTCGCTGCCATAAGTCCCTGATCACCGCCATAATTCGCTGATCGCCGCCATTATTAGTATAAAAAAAAACTAAAAATCCCAGTATCTTTCCCGCCATTTGTAAACGCTATAACTTTCACGTAAACCAATTCATTTACACGTATTGGGGGTTTTTTTTTATAGCAAAGACATGTCGCAGAATGCATTTTGGCAGAAATTTATGACTAAATTTGATTTTTGCATTTTTTTTTTTACTGGATATGTTTATAGCAAAAAGTCCAAAAAATCGTTTTTTTTTCCTCAAAATTGTTAGCCTTTTTTTTTTTAGCGCAAAAAATAAAAACTGCACAGGCGATCAAATACCACCGAAAGAAAGCTCAATTTGTGGGGAAAAAAAGGATGTAAATTTATGTACCATATTGCATGACTGCGCAATTGTCCGTTAAACTAGCGCAGCGCTGTATAGCAGAAAAATGGCGTAAATTGCAGTATCTATACCATAGTTTGTAGACGCTATAACTTCCACACAAAGCAATCAATATACACTTATTGGGATTTTTTTTACCAAAAACATGTAGCAGAATACATTTTGGCCTAAATTTATAACCAACTTTGAGTTTACTATATATTTTTTATAGCTGAAAGTAAAAAATATTGTTTTTTCTTCAAAATTTTTGGCCTTTTTTTGTTTATAGCGTGAAAAATAAAAAGCGCACAGGTGATCAAATACCACCGAAAGAAAGCTCTATTTGTGTGAAAAAAAGGACATAAATTTCGTTTGGGGTGCAGCATTGCATGACCGCGCAATTATCAGTTGAATTAGTGCAGCGCCGAGTGGCAAAAAGAGGCCTGGTCATTAAGGGGGGTAAATCCTCTGGAGCTCAAGTGGTTAACAATCATATATAAAACCCATTTATAACTCTGCCCCAAATTACATCACCAATCTGGTCTCCAAATATCACCCAAACTGTCCTCTCTGCTCTTCCCATGACCTCCTGCTCTCTATCTCCCTTGTCTCCTCCTCCCATGCTCGTCTCCAGGACTTCTCTAGAGCCTCTCCCATCCTCTGGAACTCTCTACCCCAATCTATCAGACGATTGCCTACTCTGCCCACTTTTAGGCGATCTCTGAAAACTTCTCTCTTCAGGGAAGCCTATCCTGCCTTCAGCTAATAACAGAATCTTCTATTCCTTCTACCAGTCCATCCCCCACAGTTATTACCTTTTGTACCACCAGCCCCTTCCTCTTAGATTGTAAGCTCCAAGGAGCAGGGCCCTCCTAACCTTCTTGTATTGAACTGTATTGTTGCTGTATTGTTTCCCTTTATTTTGTAAAGCGCTGAGCAAACTGTTGGCGCTATATAAATCCTGTATAATAATAATAATACTAATTAATTCAAAAAAAATGAAATGAAAGGAATGAAAGTATATGTATAAATAGGTATATTGTTTTTACAGTTTAAAGGTATCTCCTGCCATCTGATGGGAGTTAGTTTTTAATTAGAGTCAATGACAGGCAAACTGAGAACAAATTTGGCTGGTGGTATAATTCAGGCATTTTCCTTAGGCAGGCCATAGATGATGCGATTTTCATTCCTGCTACCATAGGTTGAACGTAAGAAAATCACTCAATTCTCCCATCTACACAGCCAGTTATGATGAGGGAATCCCTCCCATGGAGCTATTGTGTTCTCCCAGAGGGAAGAGGAGTGAACTATAGAGATTGTGACCTCTTACCAGTAGATATTTCAAGTACATGAAGTGGGTGTCTGCCTTAAAGTAAAAAGGTAGCCTTAAAGAAAAGCTGGAGTAATCCACCTGGTCCCAACCAACTAGAAGCTGTAGCTGGGCAGCAATAAAATATACCCAAGGTTTTGGAACAGCTAGGTCTCCTGTATTTTTACAGTATTGTGTAGCACCCTCTGGTGTACATAGTTGGCCAGAGTATTTAGAGGCTTGCTAAAAGCTTGGGTTTAGTCAGAGAGTTACTTCAAGTCAGGGTTGGAGGGCTCTACAGGTCAGTCCTCTGGTACCTCCCCCTGCTCTATAAACCTGGGGAAGCTTCTAGAAATGAGAAGGCAGAGTTGAGTAGGAGCTGATGTACATATTTATGGGAGTCTGACCAATCCCAGGCCTGTCAGTGTGACGGATCAGTCCATAAAAATGGCAGAGCCTAGCCAGCAGGGAAGTCAGGTGGAAGATGAAGTGCTGAGAGGTGCTGCTGTGTAGCCTAGTTGGGGGCTCCGAAGAAGGGGGAGTCTTGCTCCCAGGTTGGAGGCTGGAAGCTGGAGAAGGAAAGCTGAAAGAGGGGGCTCCACTGCCCTGCAGTCCACCGAGCATGCCAAATTTGGAGAGAAACCAGCCCAGCTACAGAGGCCTGAAAGCAGTTCTATCCATAGCTGCAGGACAAGTACAGTGTGAGTACCTCTACACCCCTAGGGCCTAGAAGGGAGAAGTCCGGCAAATCTTCAGGGGACAGTTCATAACTTACCCATGACAGTTCAACTTACCCAATCCCTTTTCCTGGGATCAGATACTATTGCCAGGTGGGCTGGTATTTTGTTCACTTAGGGAACATAGAGCTCCTACAAGCTGGGACTTTGTTGTACTTAGCTATAAAGACTGTCAGGATTCTGGCTGGCCCACAGTCATTCATCTCTCATTTTTGTAGCAATGTCTAGAGAAGGAAGTTGTCCTCAATCTGTAATCTGTATTCTGCAATCAAATTGGACATCCCATAATACCAATACCCGATCCAAGTTAAATTCCCTAATAAAACTTAAAAACCAAGCCCATGGACATTTTCTTGTTTCTGGATGCAAGTGGAAAATGCTTGTTGCCTGGCTGTGCAGGAAGCAAGGGGGGACCCAAAACCAGCCACTCTCAAGAGGGTAGAGCTACAATTGTAATAACTCAAGTTCTATCCTGGAGGACTACTTTTTACAAATCAGGTCTCTAAAAAATGGCTTTGATTTTTATGAAGACTTTTGGCAATATCAATATAGGGAAATTATGCAAACAATAAAGGAGTTAGGGCATCCATGCCATTTTTATAAAGCTTACACAACCAACCACAGAGAAGGAGCTTGCACCAAACTTTACATTAGTCAACAAAGGTAAAATATTATCTGAAACATACACTATATTGCCAAAAGTATTAGGCCAGCCCTCCAAATCATGTGATTCAGGTGTTCCAATCACCTCCATGGCCACAGGTGTATAAAATCAAGCACCTAGGCATGCAGACTGCTTCTACAAACATTTGTGAAAGAATGGGTCGCTCTCAGGAGCTCAGTGAATTCAAGTGTGGTACCGTGATAGGTTGCCACCTGTGCAATAAGTCCATCCGTGAAATTTCATTGCTACTAAATATTTCACGGTGAACTGTTAGTGATATTATAACAAAGTGGGAAAAACAGCAACTCAGCCACGAAGTGGTAGGCCACGTAAAATGACAGAGTGGGGTCAGTGCATGCTGAAGCACACAGTGAACAGAAGTCGCCAACTGTCTGCAGAGTCTGTAGCTAAAGACCTGCAAACTTCATGTGGCATTCAGATTAGCACAACAACAGTGCATAGAGAGCTCCATGAAATGGGTTTCCATGGCCGAGCAGCTGCATCCAAACCTTACATCACCAAGTGCAATGCAAAGCATTGGATGCAGTGGTGCAAAGCACGCTGCTGCTGGACTGTAGACATGTTCTCTGGAGTGATGAATGATGTTTCTCTGTCAGGCAATCCGATGGGTTTGTAGGTTGCCAGGAGAACGGTACTTGCCTGACTGCATTGTGCCAAATGTAAAGTCTGGTGGAGGGAGGATTATGGTGTGGGGTTGCTTTTCAGGGGTTGGGCTTGGCCCCATAGTTCCAGTGAAGGGGACTCTTAAGGCATCAGACATTTTGGACAATTTCATGCTCCCAACTTTGTGGGAACAGTTTGGGGATGGCTCCGTCCTGTTCCAGCATGACTGCGCACCAGTGCACAAAGCAAGGTCCATAAAGACATGGATGAACGAGTTTGGGGTGGAAGAACTTGACTGGCCTGCAGAGAGTCATGACCTCAACCCGATAGAACACCTTTGGGATGAATTAGAGCGGGGACTGCGAGCCAAGCCTTCATCGTCCGACATCAGTCAGTGTCTGACCTCACAAATGTTCTTCTGGAAGAATGGTCAAACATTCCCATAGACACCCTCCTAAACCTTGTGGACAGCATTCCCAGAAGAGTTGAAGCTGTTATAACTGCAAAGGGTGGGCCAACTCAATATTAAACCCTATGGACTAAGACTGGGATGCCATTAAAATTCATGTGTGTGTCAAGACAGGTGCCCCAATACGTTTGGCAATATAGTAAAGTCTCCATGGGAATTAGTTATAGTAATGCCCAGATATTTTAAAGCAGGAGCTTCCTTAAGATGTACAATTGAGGAGGGTAGAGGTGCCAGAAATGGACCCAAAGGTAGCAACATGGATTTCTCCCAGTTAATATATATTCCAGAAAATTTCCCAAACTCCTTAATGTGATAATAACAGATGTCAAAGAAGATTGGGTATTTGAGAGAAATAATAGTATTTCATCTACATACAATGCGATTTTCTCTTCATGAGTACCTCTACTAAACCCTATAACTTCAGAGGAGTTACGCAATAAGCATGCCAAAGGTTCTATTACAATATCAAAAAGAAGGGGCAAAAGTGGACACCTCCGTCTTGTCCCTTGAAAAAGGTCAAAAAAGGGGGACTGCAAACCATTTACCCTAACAAAGGTCCTTGGGCTAGTGTATAGCAGCTTCACCCAATTACAGAAATTAGATCCCATTTGGAATCTATCCAAAACTGCCCAAAGATAGTACCACTCAATGCTATCAAATGCTTTTATAGCATTTAGTGCCAAAAGAGCTTTATATTTTTATTACCATTTATTGGAACTTGCATGTTCAAAAAAGCACGTCTAATATTCACCGCTGTAGAAAAGCTGGGCATAAAGCCCACCTAATCTGGATGTAGAATATGTAAGATAACTTTCTTAAATCTGTTTGCAAGTACCTTAGTCAGAATCCTAAACGGTACAAAATAAAGAAATTGGTCTGTATAATTCTGGACATAAAGGGTCCTTATCCTTTTTGCGTTTGACCAAGGTTAGGTACATTTAGTTCTTTTTGGCTCTCCTGTAATCGATGGAGCAGTTTGTAATTGCTTTGGGCTGTTTTGGACTTTACTGACTGCAGATTCAACCACTTCCCCCTGCCTTCTGGAGGATTCCAGAATGTAGTGGGCTGAAAAAGGCAAATCCACAGCCTAAATATTTATATGGTCTTAGCCAATCCCTGGGTGAAAGGTGCTCAGTAGGTAGCTGGGGAGTGTATAAATAGTCTAGGGCCTGAGGCAGCCCTGTTCTTGAACAGGTGGAGAAGTTCCCAGCCTGAAGGTGTTGCTGTCTTTCTAGGCAGTCCAGCTGTAACTCTACATGTGCTATTTGAGGTCTCAGCTGTGCTAGAGCTGGGGGTTCCTTTCCTGCTGAAACTTTCTGGAACTGATCAAGGGATTTCACAGAGGACTTGGTCTGGAGAGTTCAAGGGAGAAATGTCCATCTGACATTGGAAGGAGGCATCCAAGTATTTAGGGGCGTTGTGAGAACAGACCTGAGTATAGGATCCTAGTGATTGTGTGCTGCTACTATCCCTTATGCATCAGTGCCAGAGCGTTCTTAAAATGGGACATTTCTTATGGTGCTACAAGAGGGTCTATACCAGTGGTTCTCAACCTTCCTAATGCCGTGACCCTTTAATACAGTTCCTCATGTTGTGGTGACCCCCAACCATAAAATGATTTACCCAGTAATTATAATTCATGAGTGTCGTTTTACCTCCAATACTGCTGCTTTCAACACAGTAGCTGCTTTTAACAAAGTAGCTGCTTTCAACACAGCAGCTGCTTTCTACACAGTAGCTGCTCTTTATACATCGGAAATATGTGTTTTCTGATGGTCTTAGGGGACCCCTGTGAAAGGGTTGTTCGACCCCCAAAGGGGTCACGACCCACAGGTTGAGAACCACTGGACTATACTAAGAAGCTTTGACAAAGTGAAGAGTGTTCTCTAGTTACTGAACTGTGTTACTGGAGTATGCCACAGCTCCTTGCACCCTATCCAAATTCAACTAAAGCTGGCCATAGATGGTTTGAATCTTGACCGGTTCAGCAGATTCCAGTCATCTATGGGCACACTGATTGTACCCAAATCAGTTGTTGTACAACTTGGGTACAGCCAGCATGTTGGATTTTTACATGCAATTACTGCTACTAGCTATTATAGCCTCTAGCAGTAATCATTATGTTCTCCTGGCGGGAATGGCTCAGTGTAATGGATTCCCCTATCAACAGAGTCAGTGTTGATGGGGGAATCCATCCTGCAAGCTATTGTGGTTCCAAGAAAGAAAATTGCATCATGTATGGCCTGCCTTACAATAAAGCATCTAGAAGAGTGACTGTTACTGTGTGCCTGGCTGCCGCTGTACTAGATTGGTGGGAGCTGGGGCAAAACAGTGGGCCCTTTCAGGGGTGAGCATCACATTGGCATGACTGTGCAACTGGACCTGCAGCTGGGGGGGGCGCATCAAGGAGAAACAAAAAAAAAGAGGAAATAGAAGAGAGTACCACCAAAAAGAAAAATTGCTTTCCAAAAAAATTCCTTCCTATTCTTTATAGGCTGGAGGAAAGGAGGCGAGATAAAGCAACTTTAAGGAGCATGCTGATAGGAGAGAGCAGAGTGACAGATAGATGAGCTAATCAGTCTGCTGTTTCTCTTTTCACTGTTCAGTCTCAAGCTTGGGGGAGGGACAAGACCTGCAAGTGTTGGGTAAGGCTAGCCATACACTATATAATTTTCTGTCCAATTTCTGCCCAATATCCTTTAGATTTACCTTCAACTATGTAGTGCAAGAGCCTGCCTAATTGGATACAATTGAAAGTGTTGTTAGTTTTAACCTTCTATTATATGGTTTTTGGTAAATCTAAACCAAAAATCTTGAGAAAATTGTATAATCTTTGGCCAGCTTAACTCCAGCAGAGAAAAATGAGGTCTCCTGCCATTCCAACAAGGCTGTGTTGTGTGTGGCAGAGCTATCTAAATCTCAGGACTGAATGGACAAAAACACAGGTAAAACAGTTCCCATATACTGTATGTTTTTTTTTTCAGAATATACCTTTACCAGGACATACAGGATGGTTTCTTAACCAGATTATACAATACACTGTAAGTCGCTGAAATATTCCACTACGGCAGAAAAGCCTCACTAAACCTTTCTGCTTGAAGCTCTGTTTAAACTATGCGTCTCTGGGGAATTAGTAGTAAATTCAGTTGTTTGCACTGGCTTTAATCCTTATAAATCACAATGAATCTACTATATATGTAAGACAGGGCATAACTCTAAAATGAGATAAACATGTTCATTATCTTTATATTATTGCAATGTTTGAGCATGTTTTAAATAAAAGCAAAGCCATGTGTTTCCCTTCTGCTCTGACTGCTGCTTTTACTTACAAAGGTTCTATTGAGGATTCATTGGGATTAAACTGGGCTATTACCAGAGGTGTACAATACAGATGTGTTGCTGTGTCACTTTAGAGGCTTAAGGAGCAACTCCGGACTAAATGAAAAACAAGGTATTGTTACAACTATAAGGTACACAATGCAAGGTAGAAGCCTTCAAATGTAGAAGCAGAACTAAAATCATCGGGGGCCCAGTATGAAACTTAAAGCCGGTCTCCAGCCAAAAATCAAACCAGAAAAAATAAACAGCCCTTTAAAAGATATATTTAAATAGCATCCATTGCTTCAATATTCACAATTACTCTGGAGCAATACTTTTCTGCCACAAGATGTCCTCCTAGCTGACTTGCAGCCAGATTCATTCAACCCACTTCCTCTGAGCCAAAGCCCTCGTAGACCCACCCCAACCTGTGACTGGACAGTGAAAGGAGAAGCAGCACAGTGATGAGCTTATCTCTGTCACTCTGCTCTCTTCTACTATCCAGATGTAATACCATCCTCTAGGTAGGTTGTTAAGCTAAATTTAGTTTTTTGGCCCCACTGTAGTCAGTCAGTGTTTCTGTCTAGTCATGGCTTCCTAGCTGTATATTTGATTTCTTCTACCTGCTTCTGGGAGAAGCTTCCAGAATATAAGTCAGATATCAAGTAATTAATATTTATCGTGCCTCAGCCAATCCCTAGAAGAGGGCATCCAGGAGGTGGCTGGGGAGGTGATAAATGTTTAGGCTTAGGCAGAGTGTTCTTCCTCTGCTAGAGGGTTCCAGTTCTCCTGGAGCTGCTCCCCCTGGTAGGATGCTAAACTGAGACTAGAATTGCACTTTGGGCCAATGCTGAGGGCCTAGAGAAGATTGTAATGCACTTTTGCTCGAGGGGCACAGTTCTGAAGTCCTAGTCTGGGTAATAGATCTTTTATCTCCTGCACTGAGGAACTACCCTTGTGTAGCGCACCAACGTAGAAGCCGCTGGCTACAAATGACTCTTTCCCCCTTTCCCCAATCTTAGTGCACACACAGCCAGGCACGCAACATTTTCTCCTTCTTGCTGGCTGAAATAAAACAGTCTAGGCGTGTCCTTTTGTGCTTTTATTGCTGAATTGAACTTGAAGGGGGTTAAGGGAGCATTTCATACCCAAACATACTGAACTGACCTCTGAGGACTGAGGACTCTTTCCTCCACAATGTTCCCACAGAATTCTCTACAGCCTGAGAAGTACCTAGGACCTCCATTTGAAGAACTGAGAACTGCACACAGTCACTA